CCTCAGATTATACCGTGGGTGCAGTGCTAATGCAAAATCGGCATCCCTGGCATTTTTTAGTAAAAGTTTAAATACCACACAGAGGATTATACGCCGACCGAACGAGAAACATTAGCCGTGTTCAGAATTAAGGCAGTTCAGAAGTTTCGAGTATATTTCGGAAAAACGCCCGTCACTGTGTATTCAGACCATGCTACCGTAAGTAAAGTATAATCGGGAAAGAATTTAACTCCTAGACTAATTAGATGGGCCTTAAAGTTACAAGAATACAACTTAATAATTAAGTATACGCCAGGCAAAGAAAACACTTTGGCCGACGCGCTGTCAAGAATCAAGATAGATGACAACGAGGATCAAGAAAATGCGCAATTATAACATCTAAAGTTTTAGATTCCCGAGAAACTATTATTTCTGAATTGAGAAAGGATCCAGAATTGGTAATATCTATGCGCATTTAAAGGATCCAGATAACTTCGAACATCCAGACCTTGTCACAATTAGAAACAGAGCTCAAAATTACGTTTCTGGCCGTATACAAGCAACTTCGTATTATTACTTGGTAATGAAAATTTGTTTTAGGTTCGCCCTTTTGGCGAGAAGAAAGAAGTCTAATATTTTTTCTCTCATTTTATTCTCTAGTATGCTAAAAGTATGTGATTGTAAAATGTGAAAATATCTATTGTGCTAAGGTAAAGTAACTGTAAATGCATATTAAATTCTAAAGCTATTAGAATAATTGTGTAGAGTGAAAGGTTTCGAAATACGTTTAAAAGTTAATGTATGAAAAATTAATGAAAGAATATCGTGAATTAAGGAAATTTTTGCCAAATTAAATCATACGTCTCTGAGCGAAAGCTTGCATGTTTCAAACGCCAGAAGGGAACTAAGCTAAAATTAAGCGTGAATGTGGATAAATACTTGTGTCCCTTAAAAAAAAAAAAAAAATACCCGCAATGTTCGGTAAACTTAAAATTTCATTTAAGTCTAAAGAGTTAGAAACTCGAGAAAAAGTCCAATGCTTATGAACGTAAAGTATTCTCTATTGTATGTTTAGAAACACGTATTCATAGTTATTCCTTCCAGGACAAGATTCAGTACCGTAAGGAGCAAGAATTATGGAGTCTACAACGAAAGAGAAAACGAATTATTTATATTATAATTTAAATCAAAGTTTCGTCCTTGTATGTAAACGGGGCTCAGAGTTGTTTTTCTAGAATTTAACAGTTTCTAACCGGTTTTTAAGGACCTTTATTCAAGTATGCTAAATTCTGGCATCGGCAACTGTAGGGATTTATATTTATTTTAACTAATAATTTAAATTTTAGTTCAGACTTTCCTATAAGCCTTCATTCCCCTAATTGTCAGTGCCAGAATAGTTAAATTTTGGTAGCGCGCGTGACGTGAATGCAAATTCTACCTTGAGGAGAAAAGTTTAAATACCGAGGTTTTAGAAGAGAAGTGAGAGAATTGGGCTCGACCAAAGTCGTCTCTGCCGTTAATACAATTGCCGATTGCTGGTTCAAGTGGCTTAAATGCACTTATCTGCTGCCACTAGTTATAGAGGGGGGTCGAAGGTCGGTATCTCGCTGAGCCCTGTAGATTAGTTTAGCACTTGTTAAACATTTCAACTTTTGATTTTCAGTTACCTGCTTTTCGGTTACCGACCAAGTAGAGGTGAAGTTTGTTAGCGTCAAGTTAACGCAGTGTAAATTTTAAAGAGTTAATAAAGAGTTTGAACACTTCTTCTGCGTAGTTTCCTGCTACTCCTGCATCCAGATAGAGACCTACAATTGGCGCCCAAATTTATACGAACCAGTGAAAAAATGGCCAACGAAGAAGTATCTCCACAAGGGCTCAGAAGTGGTAGACCTAATGGTGATCTCCCCGTTAGATGGATTTGGCTTCCTGATACAGACAATCAGGACAGCAATTAAACCAGCAGTGGTATTTGATAGCAAGAACCCCGTAACCTCAATTGTGGAAGCCCTCGAGACGCACTTCCAATTGTATCCGGTACCGGAAAGGCAGAAAGTAGCTATTGCTTCAAGTGCTCTTCGAGGACAGGTGGAAGGAAGCTTTGATTTTCAATTACCTGCTTTTCGGTTACCGCCCAAGTAGAGGCGAAGTTTGTTAGCGTCAAGTTGACGCAGTGTAAATTTTAAAGAGTTAATAAAGGGTTTGAACCCTTCTTCTATGTAGTTTCCTACCACACCCGTATCCAGATAGAGGTTAAACCGCCTGGACATTACAACTTCTATAATGGTTTAGTCATATCCGCGCTTCCATTGCATTATTAAGTGAACCTATAATTCAGTCAAAAGCAAAGGAGACTGCAAAATATTTATACATTCAAGGTGTCAGTTGTTCCGCTGTTCCATTTTGAAAAATGCACTCGGTTTCATAATTATTGGTTTGTGATGAAGCAAACAAATTTGATGAAGAGGCCACCCAACCGGTATAGTGCTTAGCGTCCCTGACTGCCGAACCGAAGAGCCCGGTTCGAATCCTGGAGAAGGCATGGGTGTTTCTAAATGTACAGTGTCCATGCGGCATGGGGGCACTCTAAATATGCGGCGAGCCAAAAGTCCTCTCGGGAGATCGATGGTAGGAGACCCTAGGATCCGTTCCTCTGGGGTGTCTCCATCAAAATTGGGTGCGGAACTGAGCTAAATCGCACTGTCACCTGTATGGGGCTTAAGGCTGTTGACCAATGACAGAGGGAATCTTACTTTCCTTACTGGGACGAATTTCGTGTGTTTGGGATGACTATTGGTCGGACAAGTGATCATCAAGTGAAACTGAACTATTTTACAATCGTTTCCTAAGTGGATCTAGGATTTTTTGATGTCATCGTTTCGCTTTCTATCGCCGACAGGACAATCCACTGGCAGCTGACTTGCCTTTAGTAGAAATAATTTAGTACTTTAGTACTTTAAGTAGAAATGAAATATGTAATGAAGGTTGATTATAATATATATATGTAGAAATATAGGATATAAAGAAAGTGTATAGTTAGTTAGAAAAATATGTCAGTATCAAATAACACAAATTTATCAAATTTCATAATGAAAATTTGAACTTCTGCAAGACATAATACCGGATTTTGTTGACAACCTGCCGTTTCTTCAACTCCTGAATAGATGGCTCCAACATGACGTCGCAAGTGAAGAATTAGCTGATAAAGGAATTCGGAGAATGAATAACCGGGTACGGTGGTTTCGAAGAATGGCCTCCATATTCACTTGAACTGAATCCAATGGACTTTTTCCTATGCGGATACCGCCCACCAGCGGCCGAGCGGTAAAGTCGCTGAACACTGGTAGTTCGGTCCGAGGTTCGAATCCCGCGAACGGGCTGGCTGCATGGGCGTTTTCGTGGTTTTCCCCATGTGTAACGTGTATACGAGCCAGTTTCCCTTAGAAAGTCCTCCACGAAGGCATCCCTCCCCTTAGGCAGATAGCCCTAGTGTGCTTTGCCATAATTAAATACACCACACCACCTATGCGGATACCTCAAACAGCAGGTGTATGCGACCCCTCCACAAATATTGCAGGACCTTCAACGACGTATTACAGATGCTGCTGCAAATGTCTCCCCCCCCCATACTACAACATGCAACATGAAGTTTTAACAACTCTCTACATGTGCATTTCAGTTGAAGTCACTCTCGGTTCTTATATCTGGGAAAGATTTATATTCGTCATGAAAAAATAAAATTATAAAAAGTTTGACTCACGTACGATAAAAATTGCCGGGATATTTAATCTCGAAATTTGCAGTTTCTGGTGTTATTTTCGACTTGCCTCGACGGATCGGTTTATTAATTTTGAATTATTTGAGGAAAATTGTATATAATGTAATAGACCATGTTAGGAAGTCCTGTGGTCTCAACATCAGATTTTTAAAAGTGAAAAAATTTAATGTCTGCTCACATTTTGTAATTGGTAGTATACGTCTATTGGGAGCGTCTAAGCTCCGAGTAAGTACTTTTGAAGATACGATATGGAGTGATTCACAATAATCGCAAAAATTGTATTGTCGATGCAATATTCTTCCAGTTGTTAGTAAAGCTGGTATCGAGACTAGTCTTGAATATTTATCGATATTATTATTTATCGATTTATATGTCTCAAAAAGAGTGACACAGGGAAGGAAAATGAAAGAAAAAGAGGTCTCAAAAGGAGCGAAACAGGGAAGGAAACGGAAGTAAAAGACGTCTCAAAAGGAGCGAAACAAGGAGTGCTGGGGAAAAATCCCGCCCCCCTCCCATATCGAAATGCAACCCTTTTAAGATAGGAGTGTTTTACGTTGGATTTTCAGGCCATACTATAATTTATTTTATTGTTTTATTCACTTATTATGATGCATTATTTCAGTTTAATATGTTAATATTTCACGTATACTGTTACATTTTATTTAATTTCATCCATTCTTGATTAGTTATTTTATGTATTACTGATATACTTACTTTTGCTCACTATTTTTGATAATAAATTTGTTATAAATTTCCAGAAATTCTGGTTTTAGACATTAAATCCTATCTGGAATAGGTTGAGGGTTACATTTTTCGAGAATCTATTAAGGACATGTTTTACAGAACTGTAAGTTGTATTCACAACGGACATTGTTCATCGCATTAACAATGGTTACCGTAGATATATTCATGAAAAGGAATCAATGCTTACTTCACGTTGATGTATTCGGCGACTCCCATCGTATCGAAGAGTTCGCTTGTCTTTATAGCGGGCACCATATACAAGAGAAAAAATACCTTATTTGAAACCGGAATTGAAGAACTTGATGACTCTCATCTCATCGGACAGGACCGCCACCCGCAGATGAACCAGGATGGTTGCTATCTCACCTATAGTGCGCGCAATAGATGTGCTCGAGAAAGAAAATACTTACTTCAAGTTGGAAATGAAGTACTCGGCAAGTCTTGTATCGAAGAGTTGGCATGTTTCAATTATCATGTGCATCTCAAGAAAAGAAATACTTACTTAAAATCCGCATTGATGTACTCGGCGACTCTCATCGCATCGAAGAGTGTAATCTTCACGGGCAGATGCATCAGGACGGTAAGGGCCTTTCGCAGAGGATTTCCAAAATGCAGAGAGTAGCGAATATAGTGCTTGGGACCAGAATAGTCCAGTATCTCTTCGGGACTGAGATCTGCAGTTCGGCAAGAAAGGGGAAAAAATAATTTAGATTCCGATCTAAGTCAAAATATAAAACTACCATTCATTAAGGGTTAGAAATTTTTAAATTAGAATATTTAAATATGACATGAACCATTGGATTTTTTTATGAGATGATTCTTGCGGAAAAATTGAATAGATAATTCCGAATTCATGTGTTAAAATGCAGTAAGGGCTTGATCGTGTGAGTACGTATATGGCATTTGTAAGAGTGATAAATAACCTTGAAATAACTTCGTTTGTAGAAAAAAAGATTTTTGTTAAACTTTTCGTATTGATCTGACTATTAACTTGAGTGAAAGCTTGTTCTTTGGCAAAAGCTTACGAGGGACAAAGCTTCAAGGAAATCTGTAATAGAAAATGTTCATCTATAATGCAAAATGTCCCGCGTAGCTAGCCGAAACATCGGCACCCTCTCAATGGTAGGAAACACTCGTTTCTTCTAGCCTTACACGTTGCTAAAGCCTGTTTATACTAAGAACGTACACTAACTCGATTGCTCCGTCTAACCTAAGCCAAGCGACTAGTTTTGAGAGGAAACTGAAGCCACTCGGATTAGATTAGGCGGAGCAGTAGAGTTACAGCAGCGTACATTGTTTGGAAGCAAAATTTTAGTAGTGTAAACGGGCCGTTAGAGGTCATAGAACGAGTTCGCCTAGTTCTGTTATAATTTTGATAGAAGTCATTTCAGAAGTCACCAACCCTGAAGCTGGAAAATACTTTTTAAAAGGAAAGTATGTAATTAAGAATACAGTTTAAATTATTTGGTGCGTACGCCGTAATAGATTGAAAGCATACATATTCGAGGATAGGTTTGTAAGGATTATGTTAATTTTATTAACAGTTAAATTTTGAGTTAAACTTCCTTCCCTATCGCTTCTTAATTTCAACTTACCCCTTCCGGCCAGATAGTTTTAGAATCACATCTGAATGCTAATAAGGAAGAGCGGTATTTAACCGCGAAGTTCTACTGTCTTAGAGAGATACCAGATATTCTGGCTAGCACGCGTCTGCCTTTTTAGGCTACTCTCTCGTAAGCTATCATTACGCTCGGCCGTGCTTTGTGCCTTTGATAGCTTCGCAGTCAATTAGCGTTAAGGGGCCAACTCTGTTAGAATTTTGATATTTCCGGCTACCTCTTTTTGGTTAAGATTAGTTTAGTTTCTTCCTTAGTCTCTTAAGTTGAAGCCCGAGTGTCGGCTTTATTGTACAACTCCGAGACGGAGTTTTGTTCAACTTTATTTGGAATAATAAAAGGTTATTTCACCCTTCTCACTTGTTGTTTTCTACCTCACGAGCTCAAGCGATTATTCGCTTACCAGTTCTTAAGATTCTTCACCTTCAACTGTAACTTAGAAGTACACAGTGGGGAATACTCCAGGTTAATGAAATTTATTTTTATCAAATGAAATACTTCAACGTTCTGGAACCTTCCATAGAAATGCTCGTACAGGTGTATGCACTATCATAGAGTAAAATCATTTGTTACACTTCAAACTTCTAAGAATATTAATCACAAGGCGATACAAAGCGCATCTAAAGAGAAAACTAACCCAGGATTTCTCAGTTCGCGCTGAACTAACAGCTCGCAATAACAATAACTAAACTACTGACTGAGAGCCAAGGGCATAACCAAAATCGGAGATGGGGGGTGCAAACGATCTTAGACCGAGAAAACGGAACTAGGATACGACATAAATTCCTCAGTGGTAGAGTAGATAAAATTGCTAAAGAAAGAATTGCTAAAAGAAGTAGTTCGATTTGAAAGCGAATTAATTGGTTGGCTGCATGAGTGTTTTTCTGGTTTTTTTCCCGAGCAAATAAATAGCGGAAGTGAAATACATGGGTTTAAACAGATTGTTGAAATATGGGAAATATGAATAGACTTCTGAACATTTTTTTACTTGGTTTTTAATTAATATAACAAACATTTTTCTTCTATCTGAACTAAATTCGTTCAAAAACTTCTTTTTCTATCTCTATTCTTGTTTCTTGAACAAGCTTACGATGCACTCTTAACCTATCCAACCCATTTAAGAGAATCTCTGTCACTGTAGAGCGCAACCAAATTTTTACTCTCCGCAGTTTACCAAATGAGCGCTCAATAGTGCACGTAGTACATGGTTGAGACAAAGATATAAGAAGAGCACATTTTTTTTTTTTTTCCTGGGAAAAAAATTGTCACAGCTTTTACCAAATCTTCCGTAGTTAACTCCTCTCTGACTATCAAAATCTTTCAAATGATAAAAATTGCGAATGCATTCCGCTTTTTTGGTGAATTCTTCCACTGGCATTTTTAGCATAGCCACAGGACGTAATAACAACAAAGAAAATGCTGGTAAATTATTTTTGGAAAATCTTTCTTTGAGGAATCCAGATAAGGGATAATAAGAGATTTTTTTCAGAATTCATCGGTTGTAGATACTGGAGGCTTTGAGCGATGTTTTTGCAGTTTTACAATTCTCGGTGCTTGCAATTCAGTGCCAATGCTCTCAGCCATAGCACTTGCGAAAGACAGAATTTGCTGGCATAAAACATCTGTTGCTCTACGATGTTCTTTTACAAGCATTAAAATTCTGTTTATGTGAAACCCCGGGATACTAAAAATTATACTTATGCCGGACAAAAGAGGGGATGCTTGTTTATAGGAAACACTTGGAATTACACAATCAGACATCCGTTAATTATTTATATCTTTTAAGGTGAATATGAGCAAAAGGATGTCCCGACATTAGGTGGTCCTTATTTGTATGACAGGCTGTGAAAATCTTTGGAGCTTTGAAAAGATTAAATTCATTCGGCTAAGAGATTCTACAGAAGACGGGGGAGGACCTTAAAGAATAATGTGAGAAACAGAGAAAAGGTTTCTCTAACTTGTTAGTTGAAATTTAAGAAAAAAAGTTGCATTCGTATAAGGGATGCACGTGCACCTCCCTGCACCCTCCTGGCTACGCCCATGCTGAGAGCTGATGTTCTGTCCAGCCTTATATAGTTTTCAGCCGGCCGCCGAGGTATTTTTAATACTTTCTACTTCTCAAAATTGCTGGAACGCAATATGAGGATCGGATTACGGTTACAGCTAATACAATGATGAATTATATTTACTCAATTACAATAGTTACTACGGTGATACATCGCTTGTGACGGGACAACTTCCGTCCTAAGGCTTTTGTCAATCGGAATTAAGTGCCACCCCGCACTATTTATCTAAAATGTAACGACACCACGACCGAGGGGCAGACACGACAGTACCAGCACGGTCCCTGCCAAGCCTGATCCAACCTGAGCGAACTCAGATTCCAGTCCTGTGAAGATTGTTTGTTAGCTGCCGTGGTTGAGACTGTCCAAGTCCAGATCGTAGCCATTTCTTCCCAGGAATTCTCCTGAGTCAACCCCGGGGAGGGATTACGGTAATACAGGGACCGGAACAAAATGTCGCCAAATGATCGCCAAGATTGGCGAGTATTAGAGATTTCTCGACAAATTCGGAGACAAAATAAGTGCCAAACCCATTGTCAGCCTGGCGATATCTCGGCAAATTACCGAGATACCCATTTACTCAATGTTAAATGGACTTACCCCTGTATTCGTAATTTTCCGGTATAGCTTCTCTTTTATTAATTAAACAACAAAAAGTACAGAAATAGCTGATAAATACCGAAGGTAAGTAAAAGTAGCTTTTTTATAGTCATAAACTAAAACTAAATACTGAACGGTCAGTTGAGAGAGAGACGTCCTAGGATTGCCCCACCGACGGTGAAGGTACTGTCGTCTGTTGCTCCGTTTTGATAAAGATCATGATTAAGGAACCTTCACCTGGGAAGGCTGTTATTCTTTAACGTTCCTGCGTTGTGCTTCTTACGTGATTACTTTATTCGCTTTCGTCATGACTTCTACCTCATCCTGGAGGACTGTGTGCTTAGTTTGTGAATTTAACATTTGCAATCTTAGTATAGAACAGAATTTAGATTTGTTCAAGGCTGCCCCACCGGTGCATACAAATTGAAGGAAGCTTTTGAAGGCACTGATGTTTCATGATGTGATTTTATGGAACCTTATAGACTGTTTAGAACCCTTAAAGAAAATGGCAGCTTTTTTGGATGAGAAACGGAATTTTTTTTATTTCGAACTTAAACAGATGAAGTGGTTGGTTAACCTTTACGTCAAATACGGATTTAATATCATGAACTTCCTTACTGATTTAGAGTTATTTGATTATTCTGCTGATCGACCAGGCCTGAATAAAGAAACCCCTGAATTAGGATACGTGTTTACTAATACAAACGACTGGAACAGCCGAACAAATTTGTTGTTCTACTAAATGGTACACTTCCTCAGACAGAAATTAGTAATAGCTTTCCCATACTATCTGATCATGTAGCTACAGATGAAGAAATACAAACTGATATGTCAGTTAAGAAAAAAACCTGAGAAGCCTTCGCCAAGACTGTGCCCTAGTCAAGATATATTGTGGAAACTCATACGTGAAATTTTCAAACATTTTTCATAATAACCCTAGGCAAGACATATCTTGGAATATATAATAGCCTTAAGCAAGATATATCTTGGATCCTGTGCCCTAGGCAAGATATATAATGAAATTCATACGTGAAATTTTCAAAATTAATAGCACTAGAGGTTATTCGCCTATGTATTATAAAGCCATCGCTATGCATGTTAAAAATTTTGTACAGTTTTGTGTTTACTATAAACCTAAAGGTCCTCCTCTCAAGGTCATCATTAATGGATTCACTGCTGACACTTTAGTAATGGATATCAAAAAAGAACTACTTGGCATAAATATTCCTGTTTCAAAGGTGAAACAGTTTGAGAAGGGAAAAGATAGATCTGTAAAAGTCTTTACAAAAGTTTCTAAAACCGATGATGGTCTCAAAATATTTAATATCAGAGCTGCCTCTTCTCCACAGGTAATAGTTGTAAATTCAAGCGAGGACCCCCCCTCCAAGAACTTAT